CGCCAGCGCCGGCTCCGGCCGAGGCCCCGAAACTTTTGCTTCTCCTTTTCTTGTGTTTTTTTTTCTTTCTCTCTTTTTTAAGGAACAAACCCCGCGAATACCTGGCTTGTCTTCCGCCGCCGCGGCGCGATGGTTAGCGAAGGGGTCTGGAATTGCCTTCGCTCGCTCCCTCCGCTCTCGGGCCGAACTGAAAATACCCCCAAGTCTGCATCCAAAAAGCAAAAAAGTTTTCTCCTTTAGCGCCGCGCCGCGAGCCCGGGCAGCCCCCCCGCCCCCCCAGATGCGCGACCGAGACACTAATTCAGAGCGTCTCGAATCAGAAACATTTGTAACCTTGGAAAAGCAAAGAGTCCTCTCAGGGTTGAAATTGAAACTTAAAATCCTGTGAGTAACGATGTCACTATCCGACCGACGAAAGGAAAATGCATGTTTAAACTGCATTAACCTGTCACAGGCATACACACACATTTCCACGCTGAAATAAAAATTACAGACTAGCAGCGAGATAAACACATTAAAATAGACTCCCACAATTTTAATAATAGAAAGTCACGTTTCCAATGAGGCAACATCTTCTAGTTCTCTTTTGACAAAAATTAAAAATAAGAAAATGAAGCAAATGGTATAGAATACTCAGATGGTGGTTTCTGATTGTGGAGACTTTTCCTTTTTTTTTCTTTTTTTTCTTCCCATAACCAAGTATGTGAATGGCTTCTTTTACATGTCTTTATTGCTGCAGCTGCTCCCTTATTTATTTAAAAAAATTAAAAACATATAGGAAACAAACAGGACAACTCTAAAAATGCTGTCACAGTTTGGGATGTATAGAGGCTTTACTTTTGAATTATTGAATGGTGTGCCTTTTATTTGTGATGCTTCAGTACTTCAGTACTTCTTTTCCTTTTGAAAATTAATATATATACATACATAGGCATCAAGAATGACATATATTCACATGTGTAGTGGCTAGGACCATCAGATGTGCTGTTTTGTCATATTTGCTTCATATTTTTCATTATTTTAAACATTACAGAGGAGGTTGAAAGTCACTTTATTTTCCTCTCTAGTCTTACCCCCCCTTTCTCCCTCCTTAATTTCTCCAAGTATTGAGTATTATAAGGTGTACATTCTTTCAGCTACTTGTCATTAGACCCAGTGTATAAATCCATGTTAATGTACTTTAATTTCTATAAATGTTGCAGCAGTATGCAACTGTCATTTTGCAGCTTGCTTTCTCTCCCTCCATGTGATTTTTATGCCAATACCAATAGAATCTACTTTATCCATTCCAGCAATTTTCAAATAACATTGGCAGCTTTATTATTTTTAAGGAGAGTCCATTCTAAAACTGGTCATTTTTACCAAAGTTGCTGGCCCCAGAATTTCAGATATTCTAACATCCTACACATTAAAATTCTGTCTTTGACAGAATTCTATACCAGCTGATTTTCTTTTAATGTCATAAATGTAAAGACACTATAGAATGCTGAGAATATTATAAGCACCCATTTACCTGTCTCATAAACTTAGTAAATATTACTGTTTTATCATATTTGCTTCAAATCTATTTTTTAAACCAACCAAAAAGTCTGCTAAAACTGAAATCCCCTTTGGCTCACCCCTAACAGCACTCCCACACTCCCCTGTCAAAAACTTGGAGTGTAACTTTACAATTTAGGTTTCACACTTGTATTGCATATGAACTCATACAGAATATTATTTTGTATGATTTTTAAAATGTACACACATGGCAGAAGATTATACATACCATTCTGTGACTTGTCTTCCCCCAACCCCTTTCTGGTATGTTTTTTTCTCTTTATATTGGTAAATATATATCCAGTGCATTAATTTGAATTGTTATATCACAGACCCATGCATATGAATGTGGAGTGTTTATTCATGCCCCTATTGATGAATATTTAAGCTGCTGCCAATATTTTGGCATTGCTTTCCATGTGTCCCTTGCACATAGGTGAGAATTTCTCTATGCATCTACCTAGATGGAGATTGCTAGGCAGCACAATTTGCAGTTTTACTAGACACTGTCAAAGGGCTCTCCAATTTGCACACCAGCAGCAGTGCATGAGAATTTTTGTTGCCTTCCCATATCATTAAATGCTTCTTAGATTCAGGTTTTCTTAGTTCTGCCAATTTGATTTGTTAAAGAACCCACTATCTTGTGTTATTTGGATTTTTATCACTGCCAGTGAGGTTGAGCATTTGTTTATATATTTATTGGCTGCTGAAGTTTCTGCTTCTGTGATATGTATTTTTGCAGTCTTCATTCATTTTTCCAACAGGCTGTGGATGTTTTCTTTTTTTTAATCCCCTGGATCTGTGTACATGTATATAAACACATGTTGCCCTAATTTATAGCTTGTCTTTTTACTTTTGATGTCTTTTGCATGTTAGAAATTTAAAAATGCATGTTTGTTGCTCTCTCTTTTTTAATAGCTTGTGTCATTTGTGTATTACTGAAGAAACTTCTGCACACTTGATGCATGAAGATAGCTTCTTATATCTTTTTCCTAAATGATTGAAAGTTTTGCTTTGTGCATGTGAGGTTGATCTCTGTGGAATATGTCTTTTGAATGGTGTAAAATAGGATTTAATGTGACTCCTTTCCTCCAGCATAAAAAGCCTGCCAAGACCTGACCTACTGAGCAGTGCTTGTCCCATTAATGTGCAGTGCCACATTTCCCTATAATCCTGAATAGAGTCTAGTTTGTCCTTTTCCATGGTCACCAATTCTGAAAGACTCTTAATTATGATGGCTTTATCATGAACCTTGATGAGTACAAGGATATGCCTCCTTCATCTTAAACATGTTATCAGCTATTTTGGGACTTCTAGATTGACTTTAATATTGGTTTGTCAAGTTCCAATGAAAAGCTGTTTTAATGTTTTATGAATTATATTTTATGGGTTAAATATGGGGAGTGGTGGTATCTTTATAAGTTGGTTAAATCAATATAGTAATGTTATCCTGATTTTTAAATATCCATTAACAGCGTTTTGCAATTTGTTCATAAAGTGCTTGTACTTCTGTTAATTTTCTCCCTGGTTCCTTCTAGCTTTTGTTCCTATTACAAATGGGATATTTTCCTATTAAAACTTTCAGTTGGTTATTACTCCTGCTTAAAATATTGTTATACATTTGGGAATAATTTTCTTTTAAAAACACATGCTGGATGTTCTTATTAATATATTTTGAAGATTTTTTGTTTTTCTTGTGTTCAATCATATTATCTATAAGCAATATTCCTGATAGTCTTTCCTCTTTCTTAACTCATTGGATTGGTTGGATCTCCATTATAACAGATAATAGGAAGGTCAAGAACAAACATGGCATTCTTATTTCTGTCTCACTAAGAATGTTTCTAATATGTCATCACTATTTGTCACTATTTCTAATGTGTCATCACTGTTTTAAGTTTTTTGGTAGAAACCCTTTGTCAGGTTAGAATAGTTTCCTTTTATCCCTGTTGTGTTTTAAGTAGAAATATTTTAAAACTAGGAAATAAATAATGAAGTGTCAATTTTTTTCCTGAAATTGATGAACTATCGAGATAGTTATAGGCTTTGTCTTTAATATGTTGGCACAATAGGTGACATTGGTAGATTTTTCTGGGAGCCCATTGGCAGAATTTCAAAGCTAAACCCTGCTCTGCCATTATCTGTCGTTTTAGTACACTGTGACGTGTAATGTGTTAGTATCTTGTTCATAATTGTTGGTGTTCATAATTTCCCTTCTAACCCTGTCCTTGTCCATGTTTGGTATCAGGGTTATAGTACCTGCATAAAACACATTTAGAAATGTCTTTGTCGCTGAGTACTGGTAGCTCACGCCTGTAATCCTAGCTACTCAGGAGGCTGAGATCTGAGGATCACGGTTCAAAGCTAGCCTGGGCAAGAAAGTCCGTGAGACTCCTATCTCCAATAAACCACCAGAAAACTGAAAGTGGAGCTGTGGCTCAAGTGGTAGAGCACTCGCTTTAAGCTGAAGAGCACAGGTACAGCGCCAAGCCCAGAGTTCAAGCCCCATGACTGAAAAAAAAAAAAAAAAGGAATGTCTTTGTCTATTTTCTGTGACAGTTTGAATAAGGTAGGTACTATTTCCTTGAATGTTTGGTAAGTCACTTATGAAGGCACCATAGATAGAAAATTCCGCATGATTTATTTAATGCTTGTTGATATATTTGGATTTTCTAGTTCTTCCTTATTTTTATTAGTTAATGTTTCTCAAAACATGAGATATAAGCTGGGAACCCTTGGCTCCTGCCTGTTGTCCTAGCTACTTAGGAGGCTGAGATCTCAGGATCACCATTCTAAGCCAGCCGAGGCAGGAAAGTCCACAAGACTCTTATCTCAAATCAATCACCAAAAAGCCAGAAATTGAACTGTGGCTCAAGTAAAGAGCT